AGCTGAGAGAGGTGGTCCGCAAAGGGTTTGGCGTACTCCCTGAGCGCAAAAACCATTGCGTGATATGTAGGAAAAATCTTGGCAACAAAGACACTTGCAACAGCAACACTACATTTCATCCCAAGCACTGACTTTTCTTCAACTTGTCCCTGTCACCAGTCCACGTTACACGTCCATCCTCTGTCTTCACCCTTTTGCAAAGGCCATGATCACCTGGAAACTTTTGTTTGGCCGACTCCGGCAGGGCTCCCGCAGCAATGTGGAGACGGGTAAGTAAAGTCTCATCGTTCGAATAAAGCCACTGTGGCTTTGGGCTTATCTAGCGAGAACACGCCGTGCAGAATCCTGGTCCGCCAAACCTGGCCAAACAGAAAAATGCAAACTTTTCGATTTGCACAGAGGGCACTGGCCTGAAAATGTGCCAGGAACCAAGCAAGTCGTGGATGTAGAGCAGCTTTGCTCCCCTGGGGCTGCTCCAGCAAAACCCTCAACTTTCTTGACATGGCGAAGGCCAGGAGCAGCACTGCCCGACAACACACAAGGTTTCCAAAAGCAACCGACTGATAGGCAGCGTTTCCAAGCGGGAACAACACAGAACGCTGATGCGTCCCTTGGTTCCTCAGATGCACACAGGCTCCACCTCAGAAGTGCTGGGCAGATCGAGTTGAGTTTTTTGCAGAGTATACATTCAGTTTCCATTTGATCTGCAGCCCAAGGGCGGGTTGCAGTAGCTTCCACATGGAAGTCCACACATTACGAGACCCCCACGCCGGATTCGGCGTAGTTGCTGCAAAACTGACCTCACAACAAATGTCAGTTGAATGGTTTTGTGTTTGCAAACAAATGAGCACCAAACAGAAAGCCCCCTGAAGTGGTGATGTCCAAGACAGCGTCAAGATCCTTGTCAAAGCTGGTCCCCCGAAAGCCGGCCTCAAAAATGGTGAACTTGATTTGTTTGAAAATAGAATGCAGAACAAAGGCAGCGACCTCTCGCAAGGATTCACTTACTCGCCCAGCTCCACTAAAGATCTCTGCAAAATCACGGTCCTGGTGGACAGGAGGAACAGGTCAGATTGGCCGGCACAACTGCAAAGCACGAAGGGACGGCAGGGCAGCTCTTGAAACACACAGTCCTCTGGGGCATCCATAAATTTTTCATTGTGGAACAAAAGCAAAACAATGAGGATCAAGGCTGGGGGAAGACCCCAGCACCTCATTTCTGCAACTACCATATCTCTTAAGCCTGTGTAAGGAGGACATCTTCCAGTCTGACCCAAGCTTTGCTACATGCCATGTGAGAGAAGTGCGTTGCAATCAGGAAATCGAGCAAACCTGTCATTTTTTACAGCCACATCGCACAACCTACCACAACAGTCGTTGCAAGCTGCTGGGCAAGCTGTGGACCACTCGGACCATAGACCCCATCGAACACGCAGGATTTCCCGCATCACAAGTGTGTGGGCCAACGCAAGGGCTCCCAAAACAACAAACAGGAACATTGTTATTTATATATAGTGTTTTGTTTTAAGTAGGCCACACAATTGCATTGCACTCCCCAAAATGCTGTGAAACACAATTAGCAGAACCGACGCTTCTTGAGCTCTCGTTCATCAAGAGTTGACAGAAAGTCTGACCGAAGGGAAGAAATCATCCAACGGTCCCAGGCATCTTTTCCACACAAATCGGACCTGCTTCGCAGCCCCTTGATAAACTTGTTCTTCGCCTTTGAAAAATCTTGTGGGGTATACTTGACATCGCCAACCTCTTGTCGAACCAAGGCGTCCACCTCTACTTCGTACTGAGCCAAATCATCCATCGAAATGTCTGCAACCTTTTTCTGGCCAGCTTTCTGTTTGGCCTGCTTCGGTTTCACAGGTCGTTTCTCCTTCTTACTCTTTTTTGGCTTGGTTTCTTTAGTTCCAGGACAGTCGTCCTCTACCTGAACATCCACATGGATGGCAAATGGTTTCACACAGGGCGCTGCCTTCAAGGCCTTCAAAGCCTCAACCAGCAGCAAAATAACACAAATTTTTGGGAGAAACACAGGCGCTAAGTTCAGAACCCAGTCTGGGAGCTCCATCGCAGAAGAAGTCGTTTTTGAAGACGAAGAGCTCAAGGCAGGGGAAGTCGAAGGTGTAGCTGTGCTAGTTCCCGACGGTGCTTCCTGACAAGCCTCTTCCAAAGCATCCTCCAAACTTGGTAAGCCACGGAAACAATGCTTCCCCACAAAGTCTACCGGGGTTTCCACATTCCGAACTGGTGAAGACAGGGAACTGGATGGAGTGGGCGGTTCTATCGGTGAAATTGAGCTGACAACTTCATTGAGCCGGGTCTTGAGCACTGAAAGTTTTGGTGACCTACTGGTCAAAGGGCTTTCCTTCCACATTTTCCGAAACCGTCCAACCAAGATTTTCACTCCAAAGGCCATCTTGTTGCACCAGTCCTCCACCACATCCATGGAAATCCCCACAGCAGGAACTAGCTTTACCAACTGCGCCCAACGCAAGACAGCATCTGAAACCACCTTCTCAGAAAACCTTGCGTTCGGAGTCGTCGATAAAACGCCAAAGAGAACCTGCAGCAAAACAAAACCAAATATGTACTCTAAGTAAGGCCGCATAGAACAGTGCCCTGCCTTGTCATTGAGTTCCAAATCTGGAACAGTGACAACCCCCTTCCAAAAATGTCCATTGTGCGCTTGGATGAACGACCACGAGGCCTCACAAAGCACACACTCTTTACCGTATGAGATTTGAACGGGAGAATGAGTTTCTGGCTGGAATCCCTTCACCATTCCATGCTTCGGCATACTGCACAGCGACATTTGGTTGGATCTGTAAAAGTTTCATAGGTCGGGGCATTTTCGTCACCTAGTAAGAAGTTCCTCTGAGCCAAATGCCTTCAGAACTTAGAAAGTCAAAAAAAGCTAGCGCGCGCAGGTTTGAACTCAGCAAGACTGGCAGAGGGCACTTGAGGAGTGTGGAAGAGGAGCTTGCCATGGCCGGAATTTGCATCGACGCTGCATTTGTCAATCAGCTAAGTGTCCCACATAAGCGCCCAGTTCAAATTTGGGCAAAATGCCCAACTAGGATCCAGACCACGTGGCATGAACGTGCATGGATGTCATGAGTGTTCGTGCCATGCGTGAGGCATGGTATGCAAGATGCTTCATCAAATGTCCATGGCCAGCAATCTTTCCACACTCACCAGCTCACGCGCTCAAAGGCCAGAGGGAAAGACTCCCATATCACAATTGCTCCTGCAGCGAACAAGCAGGAAACCCCACTCACAACCATCCAGAATTGACGCTGTTCTCGAAGCAAAGTTTGAGTATTGACATCAGCCGGACGGATCGTGTCACCTGGCTTGCAGTCAGGCGGTGCCAACCTAAGGGCTCGCTTTCACGCAGTGCTGACAGAATCTCGCTGGGATACGCATTCGATCCGAGTCCGGTCCATGATGCTAACGAGGTGACCCATTCGATGAACCCCACAATTTCAGCAGGCCTGGATTTCCAATCTTGGAAGGATGGAGTTGGCACAGGTGGCATCCACCTTTCTGATCTCTTGAACGGGTTTTCATCATTCTGTCCACCAATCTTTTGAGCTGATCCCTGAGGAGTGTTAACAGGGATTGGGATCATTTGTGGATTCACATTCTGAAACCCGGGCGGTGGAGGGATAACCTGGGTGAAACCCTGATTGGATGACTGACTGGCAAATGGCTGTACTTGCTCTGGACTGTTGGCCATGCTATACGGGAAGGGGCGATCCGGAATTCCTGCGGCTTGGGCTGAACTATTATGATATTGTTGCCATGGGTCTTGGTTCACCCAAGGATCATTCGGAAGTGATCCCGTCGAGACGCCGAGGGATGTCCGGCGGGTCGGTGTGTTTGCATTCGGATTATCCATATTCGGTTGAATCACCTAACTAGGTTGGGCGAATGGAGTTTCCGGTTGGGATCGGCTGCACAGGCGGATTTGCAACATTCTCTGGAGGAAGTGTCTGTGCTGCTGGTGGGATTGGCATTTGCGCTTGACTCGAAACACCAGCTTGAGGATTCGTCTGAAGGCTTAGCACTTGTTGAAGGACGGGTCCTAAACTGCTCAGGGTGCCGGCTAGATGAGCTACTTGATCTTCAAGAAATGCTAGGCGTCTCTGACTCGAACTCCCTCCTCCAAGGCGATTGTCCTGCCCTGCATGTCGAGACACTGGTCGGCCTCGAGGTTCTCTGGATCGTTCTCGGGGAGGACCAGCATTTCCAGTTCCAGATTCATCCATGGCTCTCAATCTCTACGGATGTGAGGTTGTGAACAAACCTAGAAAACTTGCTGTCCTACGCTCCTTTACAGGAGCTCCGCTACCATATGAGAACTCACACCTTTTAGAGTTCAACCTCAACTGCAAAGCGAACACAGAGAAAAGAGAACAAATGAAGTACACTTCTCGATTTGTGCTCGACTGCGATTAGTCGACACGCGGGCCGCCGTTCCCAAGCGAAGCAACTCCTTTTTGCGTCGCCCTTGAGCCAACCGGTACGGATGGCAGCTTTGGTACACTTCTCGATTTGTGCGCCGTAGCGCACCATGGTCAAAAGCGGTGTGTGCAACCGCGACCGAACCCTCCAAGTGATCGAACGAAACGATATGTGGTTGCTCGAACGATTGCATAGGGTGCCTATATTTCACAGGTGGTGGTGGTGGTGGTGGTGGTGGTGGTGGTGGTGGTGGTGGTGGTAGTGGTAGTAGTGGTGGTAGTCGTAGTCGTAGTAGTCGTGGTAGTAGCAGTAGCCACTAGCAAGTATTCAGGTAAGCTACTACCCCGAAGTAGCTACAGTACTAGTATCTTGGACGTAGAACGGCTCAGCCATGATCATTTGGTTCCTAGACTGTTTGGGAAACTTGACTTGGACATGCGCGTGTCTGGCTGTGAGGAACAAATTGATCCATTGAGCTGGTCATCCTCCAGCCAAATACACATACTTTCTGGGCCCAAGACTCTTCAGCATGATATCCACGTAACATCTCAGACCCTCGATCTGAGAAGACGCAAAGCCTAAAATGAAGTGTCAGGAAGAACATTTGTTGGAAAATGGAGCGTCTGAATGTTGCTGAGGCTTTTACTGCACATTGCTTCCCGCCTCTGGCGTCGTGCAAAGCTCGATTAAAGGGCGAGTAACTTGGCTTGGCGAGTTGACCCAGAAAAGGTGCAATGGAGAGTTGACATCCAAACAATAGCCCTCCACTTTGGCAAGTACTTCTACCTCAGTACAAAGGCCCACAGCTGCTTCTATGTTTAACGTTCAAATCATATTGGTGTCTCTTGTCATTCAGAGGATTGCCAAACTCGGAGGAACCCTATTGCTCTGTGTATATTGTACTGGAAAAGTAAGGAGGAAGGAGGAGACAAAAAAAGACTGACTAAAGGAAGGAACAAGAATGGAAATCGGAAAGCAACAACCAGGGAGGGAGGGAGGGAAGGAGGGAGGGAGGCATATCAGACAACAGCAGTGGTGCAACTATTCGCTGAGCCTGGCGGAGCTTCTGCGCAGATGCTTCAGCCGCCTTTCTGCTGACATCCCTGTCTAGTGCGCCGCGAAACCGCCAAGACTTGGAGACGCGGAACACAACAGACCAAAAACTATGTATACACAGGCAGAATTGAGTTATATATATATAGGATAGAAACCATCTCCAATGGTTTATCACCATAGAGAAGTACAGTAAGTAGTAAGTACAGAAACTCACAGGGCAAACAACAAAGCCTGGAAAGGAAGGTTCATAGCCTCAAAAGTTTTGAATTAGGAATGTCTCAATAGACATCCCCCTACTGTTTGGCAGTGCAATTGTCAAACTCTTCATGCTCGGGGTTGTGACTCAGGAGTGACCCAAGGTATGATGAGCCTAATAGCACAGCATGGATAGGTACAAGTACAGGTAAGGTTCAACAGGCCTGTCCATCGCACCATTTATGAGTAAGACGGCTACTTCTCGTCCTGCAACCACGAGGCAGTTCCTGTTTTCATGCAGCATTGTGCTGGACTCCTCCTCTTGCATCTAGATGTGCGATTCGTTCAGGAAGTACTTCACTCGCAACCTGAGAGCATCACACAACAAAGCAGAAAGTGATCCCACCTCTCCACTCATAGTCACTTTGAGTGCTTTTATCACTTCCGGCCAACACACTTCTTTGAGGAAAAGTGGGCGGACTCCGTTTGGCTCCAAGCCAATGACAGCAATGACCCCACCAAACCCACAAGGTGTATGTGATGGCCTTGCGAGTTGTGAAAAAAGGTTGCAAAGTACACCAAATCTGACATGCGCTGTCAACATGTCAGGCAGCTGAGGTTGAAGCCCAAGGACCGTGTCCAAAGCCACGGTGCCTTCAAAATAGTTTAGCTTCTCGCAAGCAAGTTCTGCAGTACAAGTGTTCGTGCTTGAAGCTACCTCCTTGACCATACCCAAACAGAAAGAGCTCATCCTGCTTCCAACCTGACTAAATGCAGATTGCAAACGGAGGTATGGCATCTAGAATCTAGATACTTATATGTGGCAGGTGATCATGTGGTTGACATGTGTCTCGAATATTATCAGTACAGTACTGCATTGTAAAGCACAGGTTGCCACCGCAGTAGGTGATCAGCACGTTCACTGACTGCCAAAGTAGTTCAACACCTGACCGTATCATAGAAAGTTGAAGACATCTGCCATCCAAAAGAAAAAGTAAGCTAGCGGGAGGTCTGGGAGTCTAGCGAAATACAAAGTGGCGAAGAGCAGAGGCAAATACATCTGTGTATACATATGTAGTATATAAGTATGCTGGTAGCCTTCGCATTGTTTAAGCTCCATACTACCTTCCAGCGAATCAATCCGCCGTGATTCGCCCTCGGAAGCTTGGATGAAATCCTTGGACAAAAACACTTGCAGGCTCATTAGTCGCAAAGGCCTCCAACCTAATAGCGATGGCCTCCAACCTACTACCGATGCCCTCCAACCTCATAGCGATGGCCTCCAACCAAACAGCGATGGCCTCCAACCTAATAGCAATGGTTTCCACCCTAATAGCGATGGCCTCCAAACGACTACCGATGGCCTCCAACCTAATAGCGATGGCCTCCAACCAAATAGCGATGGCCTCCAACCTACTAGCGACGGCCTCAAGCCTAATACCAATGGCTTCCAACCTAATAGCGATAGCCTCCAACCGACTAGCGATGGCCTCCAACCTGCTAGCGATGGCCTCCAACCTGATATCATGGCCTCCAACCTACTAGCGATGGCCGATGGCCTCCAACCTACTAGCGACGGCCTCCAACCTACTAGCGACGGCCTCC